TAAATCCTTCTTTGATTGCATAAGCGGAATATCTTTCTTCATGTCTATAGCGTCCTTAGAGCCACATTGCCACAAGGTTGCCATCCCTCAGGATTTTATCTTGTGATATTTGGTGTTTTTTGGAAAGCCCCAGTGTTGGGAGACCTGTGATTACACAAGCGTCTTGGCTTTCATTTAAAAAAAAAAAGTTTTTTCTAGCCCTCATAATTGCAGGAAAAAACTGAAAACCACAAACCCTGAAGGCTCAAAAACCAGAATACAAATAGAGCACCCAAAATGTTTCCATCATCTTTTGATTTTTAAGCCCTTCTCGTTACTTTTGAGCTCTTGGTGTTGTCAGTAGTGGATTGTGGATACCTGAACTCATGTTGAATATTGCCTGACCCCACAAGCAGTCTCACTGAAGTCAGTGGGACTTCTTTTGGGGTGAAGGTATTACTCAGTGAGACAAGGGGATCACCATGTGATCCTTAACATTTAGGGCCAGATACTCAGCTAGTGTCCATGGATCTATGCTGATTGACACTAGTCGAGGATAAAACCCTGAATTTCGAATAGTCATAATCTGCATGCTTCATTGTGTGTAGAAATTTTTTTTACCCTGTTCAGTTCTGTTGATAGAGCAGAACTGCAAAAAAGGAGAAAGACTGTCTTAGTTTCCATTTCACTCTCGAATCCCTGGTTCTCTTTTCAGTTTCTCGCTTACCTTATCTCCCTTTTGTTAAATGTCCTCTCTTCTCCATCTTTCTTTAATTACATCTAAAGTCTAGAACTCCTCTTCCCATTCTAAATCTTATTGCCGTTATCAGTCTGATAAACATGAATGCAACTCTTCCATATATTTCATTAGTTTTGTTCTTGCCCATATTTGAGTGTCTCTCAGACATTAAGTCAACAGAGAGACTCCACATCGCGTCCTTATTTTGCTGTATTCAGAGTCAAGCTCGCTACCAGCCCTGCACACGCAGCTATTTAATAGAGCGCTGCAATTAGCTTCATTTGTTTCAGATGCTTTTCTTCCTGTCTCCTCCGTTGAGTCTGCCCTTAGTTTTGATACATTCCAAATGGGACTTCCACAGAACAGGCGCTAGAGTGGTTCCTAAGAACAGCTTGAAAAAATAAATAACTTGTATTTTTTTATCTTTCTTACATCAGAACTAGGGGGGAAAAAAGCTTTTTTAATTAACAAAGAATAGTCTGGCTGTCTGCACCAAAAACGTTATGCTGCATTCTGAGATGCATTTACAGTGGTATGCAAATATGGCATAAAATAAATTGCAGAAGAAATAAAAACGTATGTGAGGCATTCTTGCACAGATCTGACATCTCTGGGGTCTGGAAGAAAATTCTGCACAAGGATGGACAAAATATGAAGAGAATGTAGAAATGTTACAGTAAGACCTAGGGTCAGATTCTCAACCGGTGTAAATCAGCATTGCTTTGTTGAAGTCAGTGAAGCTGTGCTGATTTACACCAGTTGAGGAGCTGGCCCCATCCCAGCCTGGGGATCAGTTATGCTGGGTGCTGGAGAACAAAACACTATCCACACTGCACTCTTTGTGCACTGTGGATGACGCTCGTGCTTTGGTAGAGGGCCCATTGCTAGATCCTACATGACAAGAAGGTGTCATGCAAGTGAGCTACTGCAGCACCTTTGCACTGGGAGCGGGTGAGTCCCACAGCAGCTTCAAAACCCACCTGGATGATCTAGAAGAGGAGCTGCTCCACCTAGACCTGAACAGATTCAGTAACTAGGAACCTTCACGTGAGGGCACCAAGGAGCAGCATCCACTCTTCAGGCCTGTCAGCTGGGGTAATAGCCATGACAGCATTGTACGCTGTCACAGAGGGACTGTGCTTCACTGCTGTGGCCTGCCCGGGTGTTTGGGGGATGGTTCTATTATCTTCAATCCCCATTTCATTTCCATGTCCTAAGTCTCTTCATGCTTGGGTGGGGGTTGGAATCGAACACATAAGCCCATGGGATGCCAAAAGGCCTTTCCGCTCCCAGCAGAGGTGTATGCATGGATCTGATCCAATCAATATCCACCTCATTTGTGATGGTATGTCAGACGGAGCAAGGGACGGGAGAGCGTGGGAGCAGTGTGGTATGTCTGGGAGTGGCTCTTCAGTCTGGAATTGAAGTGGTGCACAGTGGCTATTTTGTTAAGAATCAGATACTCCTGAACACTGGTTCGGATAACGGTACAGGCAGCCAGCTGTGAAAAGGATAGGAACTGGTGTTGTCAGGTGAATATTTTTTCCACAGGATACAAGTGTATTTCTCTCACTCTTTTTTTTTTGTTTGTCTGTTTTTTGTTTTGACTGGCTCAGGATCTGGCCTACAAAAAATGAAAAAGAAACCAATTGACTGCTACTATAGTACAGGTCACAGAGAAAACCTGTATTTTCTCTTGGGAATTTGCTTTTGCTTTTCGAGGTATAGTGGCTTTATACTGTACATGGATTTCAGATTTTCTGAGCATCAACACAGGAATTATTTAAGATAAAAATTCTGTTAAAGTAGTGTTGCTCTGTGGCTAGTGTGGTCTGATTCTTGCTTTAGCACTGTTTATACCTGTAATTGAACAGATTTATGCTAATATGGACTATTAGTCTTCATCAAGGTGTAAATGAGGCAGACAATAGTAAGAGGGGCTTTAATATTTTTAAGCAATGTCCAGTCAAATCAGAGTTATTTGCCCGAGTCTCACAGGATAGTTTGTGTTGCTACTTGGGAAATATGTGCTCGGCGCTTGCAAAGAGCGTACAAGTGGAGATAAATCTCTCTTCAAGTACTGTTCTTTCCACAGTAGCTATGTCCATATGTGATGGCCTTCACTTGTGGGGAGCATTGCCTAGTGGTGAGGCTTACTGCCTTAAAACGGCGGGTGGTGGTGGTGGGGGGGAGGGTTGGTAGGGGAGCCCAGGCCCTCCCATTCCACCAGACTCCAGCCCAGAGCCCTGTAAGGACTATCAAAGGTCTGATAGCCGATGCTGCCCTCTCTGGGCCACTTTCTACCACCCCATGGTTGCCCAAAGCTTGCTGTCTATGATTAGATGTGCAGGTGGTCAGCTCACCACTTGGCACCAACTTGTGGCAGCTCCCTCTGTCTCGGGGCAGCAGCTATCTCTTCCGGTGGCTTGGCCCTCCGCCAGGTTCGGGACAGGGTATGGGGAGGGTAATAGGAGCCTTATAAGAAAAAGACCCCAAATTTGGGACTGTCCCTATAAAATCGGGACGTCTGGTCACCCTAGTTCCAACTCTCTCCCCTGCTGGGGTAGTCCATAAAGAAAACAAGAAGAATTAACGCAAATAAACTGAGTCCATATGTGGGAGGGAATGCCTCCGTCTCAGGGCATCCCTGAAGCAGGTCCTCCCTTCCCTCAGGGAGGGACCTTTGGTAGGGGAGATTCTGCCTTCCCTCAGCTTTTCTCTCAGGAGCTGCGAAGTGCACGTCTGCTCTCTTTTTTGATCTGCCCCCAAGGGAGCTGTTCTGCATCCTTTAATTTCTCCTCCACCCTGTGCCTGCCTTGCAGGTGTGGCGGGGCAGGCCTGGCCGAGCCCAGAGCAGCCCCTTAACCCCTTGTTGCCCAGTGTGGGGTTTGTATACGTTAAGGTATTACATCCAAAACCCTCCATGATGTGCAATTACACCTACCCAGGAGCAGGTAGGGAAGAGGATATTGATTCTGAGTCTGCCTGGTTTCCCCCTGCTCCAAGAGGGTGGGAGTCCTTTGTACCAATCCTAGACTTGGTGATTGGTACGCTCCCCAGCACAATGGTGCGGCAGCAATGCCCTGCTCATTGTGTGTGTGTGTGTGTGTGTGGGGGGGGGCTAGCCATGGTTCCGTTCATTCTCTGCACCTTCTCCACCTCCCCATGCAGCGTGGGGGAATACTGGCCCTGCAGAGGGTGCGTCTCATGCTGCACTGCTACCCATGGTATGGGTAGTTAGTGCAGAGTAATGGGGGGATACCTTACACCTCTGCATGGGTATGCAGGACTGGACACAATGAGGCCCTCGCGGAGATAAAGTTTGGCTATTGTTAAGGTGGATGACTGGGACTCAGGAGACCTAAGTTCTGTTTCTGGCTCAACCACTGGCCTGCTTGATGAGCTTGGACAAATCATGTCACTCCTGTGTGCCTCAGTTTCCCCATCTGTAAAATGGGGATAATGATACTGAACTCCTCTTTGTAGAGTGCTTTGAGATCTGATAAAAGCTAGCTGGTATTATTAAAACTGTGTTTAAAAGGTAAAATTAAACCCTTGGAAAATACAACACAATATTCTCTGTAATTGTTTCCCTATGTAGGAGAGGTCACGTAGCACATCATTTTTGTTCTCTTAAGTGCAATATGTAGAAGTCATCTGAAGTGTGAGATGGTGGTCGAAAGTACATGATTTTTAATGAGTAGTAAGGAAAATAGTCGTCCTAAAATTGATGGTGCACGTTATCACTGAGTGCACAGCATCCTTCTTATTCACACACACTTTTCAAAATGTCCTGTCTACAATCATGTAGAGTTTTCCACTGTGAAGTTAGGATGTTCTGTTTTTTTCTCTTTTGCAGAATGGTAGCCAGGAGCTAATTATTGCGAGACAAGGGATACATAAAAAACAATACACAGAGGTTTTGTTGAAAAATGTGAACCACAGTAGAGTGCTTGGCAACACAAGAAATAGGCTAAATAATTTTGGTTTGAAATGAGTACCTGGAAAATCAATATATCAAACTGGTGGTGGAGATGGGGTGGGGGGGAAAAAGACCAAAGCAGATTTTCAAGGAAACAATGGGGCTATATGACAACGGTTCCGCTATTGCAGTGAGGAATTGTTACTCCTGACTGGTATGCAATGTGCAGGACAGAACCTGCACAGAGCTCACTGAAGACTGAGGTCTAACAGTAGCATTACTAGGGAACAAAAGCGCAGTTAGCGAAGTGTGCATTTTCAATGAATGGGTAACAATGTGTATTTCAACTTTTCCTTATAGGAGACAGAGCTGCTAGATCTCAGCTTCGTCAGAGATGCCAGATGTGGGAAACATGCCAGAGCTCCCAAGGTAGGAACTGCTATTGTGTACGTACCAGATGTTGCATTGATAACTTAGATGAGATGGCTTGGAAACTATATACAGCAATTAGAAAATTTGCCCAACACAATAAATATCATTTTGCTTTTTTCTTCATTTACACAGCCTGTGAAACGATGCACTGAGACGGCTGGGCCATTGACTGTTGAGCCTGTGTATACAATTCTGATGAATGTTTTCTTTGCGGTGAATAAACAAAAAACTGGAAACTCATGCATTATTTCTAAAGATCCAGTCAAAATGATGGAAGCTCTTAACTTCCCTGGGGGCTGAGTGTTTAGTTTTAGTTCTCCCTTGCATTTGGTATGGGATGTTTGCCTGCTTGTTGAAGCCAATTAGTCTTTTTCATGTGACTTCAGTGGTCATTGAATCAGACCCTGTGGATCCCGTTAGGTGGGGTTTTTTTGTACCTTCCTGTTGAACGTTGCTGACAGAAATATGTTTTTTGTATTGTTGGTTTTGGACAGATAATTCACATCTAAGTGGAAAATCCCTAGCGCGCCGTTCTGGTAACTGGACTGTATCCTAGGGAAATCCACAGAGGTTTGTAGAAGGAAAGAAAATCTCTCCAGGGCTCTGGAAATGAATATCTGCGGCTTCACGGCTGCTGCCGAAGCTTCAGGGTTGCAGCGGCCTCTGGAGTTGCAATTCCTACCTTGGCCTCAGGGGAGGAAGTGGATGATTGATTTGCAGTTGATCCTCTCCTTCCACACTCCTTTCTGCCCCTCCTGTGCTCCACCCAGCTGTGTTGCAGGATGCTTTCCCATAAGCTGCTCAGGTTTTGTCAGAATACGTTTTAGCAGCATGAATGGCAAGTCCTGTGTATTTGAACCTATCTGATGGTTATCTTCAAATGTATTTAAATCTGGTTTTCAAAGCTTTCCATATGGTGCCAGCAGCATTTGAAATGCTGAATTGTAATTGAAATGCTACAGAAGTACTTTATGACATCAACATTAATATCAAATTAGTTCTTCATGATTAATGGTTTTATGATGAATAGTAATAAAAAATTAACAAGGGCTGGAACATTATTTTTAAACTGATACCCACCTTTATATAAGGCATTCAAGTTCTTCTAGCAAAAATGTTTTTAGCTTAGATTTATGTGCAGGCATTGTTTTGGGGGCTTTTGTTTAGTAGGTTACATAAAGGCTGTTTTTGTTATTGTATTTCACCAGCTTGAGTGCAGTGGCATTAATTGAAGGGTACCAGAAAACCAAGACTTCCGTCCTGGTGTAATGCCTCGTACCTGTGTGAATCAGCCCTCCTTTCATCGCTGGTTGCGTGGGATCCTTGATTGCGAGGCGCAATAGATGCAGCACCTGCATTGGCAGTTTGACAGGGCCATGTTTACCCGGTGGAGCAAAATGCTCATTTGGGGATCAGTTATGCCTGTTACGCACAGGTCCGTGTTCTGAGCACTGTGGGCAAAGAGGTGTAATTCATGGGCGAGAGAGGTATAGTGACTCCCCAAGCTACCAGATGTACAGAATCACTTCTCCACCGCTACCCTCCTTAACAGGTCGCAGGGTGCCCTGTCCATGGACCCTCTACTTCCCTACCATTAAATACTAGTGGGAATAATCCTTGCATTCAGGTGAGGGCAAGGACTGTAATTGTGGCCAGCCCCTGCACGGAGCCTATTCAGAGGAGAAAGTTCCTTGCACTTAGCACCCATGTAAAGGCATAGCACCCATAATCTGCTCATCCTACATCATTCCTGAATGTATGGTATATAAATATTATGGTCCAGAGTCTCAGCTTCTGTAAATTGGCGTAGATTCACTGAAGTTGTCTTAGACCAGCTGAGGATCTGGCTGTTTATGTGGTGCCGGAGGCACTCTCCGTACCAGGGACATGTCGTAAGCCTATATGAGCTGTGTCCCGGCTGTCTTAGAGATCGTGTGATATTTAGGTCATGGCACAAGGTCCAACTGTTTGTATCAGAAAGAGGATTTGGATGGAAGATTCATTAAATGGGTAGAAATAACTTTTTTTTCTTTGCATTCCTCTAATTTATGATGATTTGTGGTATTGAATTTGGTGACTCTGTTTCCTGCTAGTTTGAGTAAGCTCATTTAATTTTGTGTATTAATTATAATAAAAAAGGCTTGTAGATTGGGCCTCAGTCTTACAAGGGCCTGATCCAAAACCCATTTAAGTCAGTGGGAGTCTTACACCACCTTCAGTGGTCTTTAGATCAGGCTTAAAGGTAGACAGAAATAAAGTGATCATCTGTATCCAGCACTGGCTTTTCTAATGTCCTATTTGATTTATTTACTTTTGTAGTTAAATAACAACACCAAAGATGCCTATACAAGGCACTAGGTACCCTAACGCATTATTAGTATTGCAACAAAGTCCCAGCATCATTAAAATAATTATTTGAAATTATATTAAATTTTACACAACCACCCACATGTAAAAAAAAAAACCCTCCTTTCCACCCGTTCATTATTCCGGGATGCTCTTCCTCCACCCTCTTCTGAACCCCTATCAAACAAAAGGGGGGTTGTAAGGGACTGCGGAAGACTTTGTTACAGCCTAGCTAGGGAACTTCCACTATCTCGAAGCTGACAGGTCACTGTAGGACATAGAAATCCGACTATAACCAGCTTTAGTTATAGGTTAGCCAGGTAGCGGAAAACCCCTTTAGGAAAGTACCTAATTATATATTCATGAGGTGTTTCTGTGTACTGCTTATTATGGCTCACTGTTTGCCCCTTCGTCGGACTCCGTCCCAGGCAGAGCTCCGGAGCGCTGGGTTCCCCGCCTCCGTGACAGCAACGCTTGGAGTCCCTGTTGCGGGTGTGTCACTTACCTTCATTAAAGCCAATAACTCGCTGCTTTGCTGCTCGTAGGTCTCATTCTTTTGGAGCACTCCTGATAGGCCTGCGGCCTAGCACAGAACAGGGGTGTTTCTTGGGTTACCTTTAATTATTTGCCACGGTATTGTATAAAGTCCATCTTTGGTAGTAAGTGCTGGCATCTTTAAGTACAGGAAGCGAAACTGCTCATTTATAGGTCTATTTCAAACTCATCTGTGTGTATTATTTTCAACAATTGTCTTCCACCAGTCAAGAGAGCCATACTTTGTGAATTGTTTTGTATGTGTTTTGTAATCTCTAATGTGCCTTCTTAATTGTTATAAAAAGGAATATTCTTTTCCTTTGGTCATTTTTAGCCGTAGGGGGAAAATACTCAATTCCTTTTATCTTCTTGTATAGTGGGTAACATTGCTAGTCTTTCTGTCAACCTATCTCACTCTGTCTCAAACTATCATGATATGTTTTGCTTTGATAACAATCATTAAAGCTAAGCTATGGATTTATGTGCTGTGGAAGGCTGGTAGGGTGGGAGCAGCCTGTCCTCTGGAGAAAGGAAATATTACGAAGGTGGTCTTTTTAATACCTGCCATGGCCACAATGTATGGTGCCTGGTACACCTCTTGGGAAGGTGTAATCTGTAAATCCCCTTATACTCCCCTGTAGTTGTGATAAAAAGGACATTTTCCTGTACACGGTCCCACAAGACTTGTTCTTGCCAACCAGGTACCAATATGAACCTCATCACCACGGCATCTAAGCCTCCTCACAGTCTTTAATGTATTTTTCCTCCCATCATCCTTTGAGGCAGGGAAGTTCTACTCCCCTTTTACAGGTGGGAAACAGGCACAGGGCATGTTAAATGCCTTTCTCAGCATCACACAGGAAGTCGGCTGCAGAGCCAGGGACTGATCCGAGGTTCCTTGTGACCCATGTCTAATGCCCTATCCATGACTAGACCCTCCTTCCTTTCGCTGCGGACAGTAGCATGATGGGCGGTACTACTTCTCCCCACGTCTGCACTCCCAAGCACTGCAGCTGAGTCTTGTGGCTCTTCTCTGCTGGGGTGCCTGAGGAAAGAAGGGACTCTTTTGCACCCACCGCTCCCCCTGAGTACCCACTCAAGCATTATTTGAACCTTCATGTTTTCCTAGGATCAGCATCAGCTGCTGGGTGTGAATGTACCAACTTCCTGATCCATCTCATGAATTCTCCAGAAATCGACCAAGCATTTTGTTGTCTTGCACACGTGCAATGTACTCTATCCAATGCCTTTTTGAAAGCTGGGCGGGTGAGATCCTGGCCCCGCGCAAGTCAATGGCAAATCTTCTGTTGGCATCAGTGGGGCCAGCATTTTATCCAGTATCCGGAACAACGGCTCACTGAGACTCCAACAGTGGTATTTGACTACTTGCTCAAGTAGGAGTGCTGCAGAGGAGTCTCACCCCTGGAAAGCTCAGGGGAAGGACTGTGCTCCAGGAACAATTCCCTCCTAGTGTGCAAGGGGCCACTGTAGGTTGCACCATACTCCAGATGCACCTGGCCAACTATGACCTATGACTCTTTTGGTGCCAACTGGCAGAGGGCACAGGGCGTGCATATAGTTTTACAGAGTTCCGCCTGGATCAGATTCCCTGGATCACTAAAAGGTGGCATGTAGGGTCTCTGCTATCATCATAATCACTGTGGAGCATATACATAGATAATATTTACCAAGGTATGCATCGTATACTGAAAATTATGTTCTTAAGGTAAGGTAGGTCACTGGACGGTTCCTTCTAAGCAGGAAGTAACAGGCACTTCTCTTTCTGTCTGGTTATGCATGTACTGGGCATTGCATAATGAGCCTGATACCAGTTGAAAGATTGCCAACTCTACAAGAGAGGACATTGCTAGGAAGAAATAAACAGCTGGAGGGGATCCTGTTTACGAGTAAAAGCAATGGATTATGGGGGTCTATCTGGGAGAGCAGATGAAGGTCCACTCTGGGTCTTTCACCTTGGAGACCAGCTGACAGCATGTCTTGTCTCATGAGAAACGGATCACAGCCTGACTTATGTCTGAGCTACTGAAGTCCTCAAATCGTGGTTTAAAGACTTCAAGGTACAGAGAATCCTCCAGCAAGTGACCCGTGCCCCACAT